AACCATTATTTTCTAACAATCATGGATGTTCTAATATCCAAATCCCTATAGAATGTTAACAGTTACATATTTTATACAAAAGTAGAAATCAAAAGCCGTACATAATACTGCAGCATGACAGTGAGTATGACATTTCGTAACACTTAAATTTCCATTTTGACAGAGCATAATCCTTTTAGTCAATCATCTCTGTCCAATACACAAAATTTTTACCTGATTTGTTGTCTTTAATGAAATGTACGTTACACAAATTTTTTGCTAAAGGCAGATGTCTGAATGTGGAAAAAAAAAGTCTATCACTATAAACAATCCTTGTTCTACACTTTGGAAGACCCACACACCTGAAGGCACAAATTTCAATACTCTGCAAGAACAAGAACAACCAACTGCCACAGCCATATGAAAACTTTTGCGCCAGAGCATCTTTAAATTAAAAAAATATTATTGTCCAGCAAACTTTCTTTTGACGAATGAGTAATGTAATCATATCACAATAATCTATATATATTCATTGGGGTGCCTCCCAGAAGGCTATGGAGATCACTGGGCTTCCTCTTAATGAGCAAAGGCACAGACAATTTTTCCCAGGCAGTTACTCCTTTCCTCATCAAAGGAAGCCTGGACCAACAAGCTTCCGAGCCTGAAAGTTCTCCTTAGTTGCTTTAGCAAATTTTTGATGACCTCTGAGAAAACCTATTTTGATATCAAATCGACCAGCTGGCAACCCAAGTGGAAACATGCTTTTAAATCTATAACACAAATTAAATTTTAGACAAATGATCCAAAAATGTAAAAGAAAAAGAAAAAAATTGGTGTGTGCACACAGACAATCCACCTACAACACCAGAGGGCAGTCTGATATATTTTTAGCCAAATTAAATTATAATAATCTTTCACAGGTTTAGAAGTTTGTAATTATAAATAGACTAGTCATTTTTTTTTTTGTAGGTTGATTAGCATGATCTCTTACGAGAAAATCTGGAATGAAGTAGATCTTTTATCTAAATGTTCTTGGAAGAGATCTGTGCTAATTGACCTACGAAACATCTCAGGGCTGGGAGACAGGTCAATGGCACAAGCACCTGCCTGGCAAGCACAAGGTCCTGGCTTTGGTCCCTGGTACCAAAATACATGTCTCTGTTTGTTTTATTTGGTCTTAAGAATAATTCAAGGAGGCAGGGGATGGCTCAGTAGAATAATTGCTTCCCTGGCAAGCATAAGGGCCTGAGTTCAAGCCCCGGTTCTGCAAAGAAAAAGAAAGCATAATTCAAGGTAATTTTTATGTCCTTTTCTTTTACATGCTTTCATTTCAGCTCAGTTGTCTCCACACACTCTGTCACCTACTCAGACCTTCGGTTCCCACTTCTCATCACCACCTCCCGGGCATCCTGGGCCACTTACTCAGCTGGCACTGGGTGGGTCTAGCCTCATTTTTGTCAGCTGTCGAGCAGTCTCCAAGGCATCACCATCGTACAACTGAGCGTCAGCTTCTCAAAAGGTGGAACCGACTCCTTCTCTGGGTTTGGATCCATGTACAGCTGGGCAGTGTGCTCTGCCACCCAGATAGGCTGCTCAGCAGCCTCTGGAAAAACACAGGCATAAGCCCAACCCCAGCTTAGCACTGGACTGGGTCCCTCCGCTGTCCAGCGTGTCCATCTTTTAAAAGGAGCCTTCCTAGCTTTCTGTTACCTCATCGAATTCCTTTTCTGCTCCAGAGTCCCATCCCTAGTAGGATTTTAAAAGTTGCTAATATATACTGCCAAGTGAAGTCTATTATGAGGTGCAAACTTTGTAGGGAAGAATTCCCTCTTTGTTTCTATAACTGAACTTTGAACGTGTGGTGAGGACATTCAACAATTCCTTGACCTTAAGGGCTACCAGAGACCCCCACGGTGTGGGAAACATGCAAGTTCATAAAACATTTGACAGGAGCATTGTATAGGCTGTGCTATTGTCAGTCTTAAAGGTAGAAGAGAAACCCAAACCCTGTATGTAGGTGCCTGCAGCCCCTGCTCACTGCCCCACCTCTGGCCGTGGCTCCTGCCCTGGACCGCAGGTGAGCTCCCCTGCTCGCCGTGGTTCCTGCCCTGCACTGCGGGTGAGCTCCCCTGCATGCCGTGGCTCCTGCCCTGCACCGCAGGTGAGCTCCCCTGCGCGCCGTGGCTCCTGCCTGCACTGCTGGGGAGCTCCCCTGCTGTCCATGGCTCCTGCCCTGCACTGGAGGGGGGGGAGCTCCCCTGCACGCCGTGGCTCCTGCCCTGCACCACGGGGGAGCTCCCCTGCACGCCGTGGCTCCTGCCTGCACTGCGGGTGAGCTCCCCTGCGCGCTGTGGCTTGTGGCCTGAGGGGAGGACTGCTTCCCACCAGCCTCACCGGTCAGCACCAACAGCTGGGTGCCAACACTCGGCAGACTGCAGTCTCACAGGCACCACGGGTTGGCCGGGGTGGCTGCAGCGCCAAAGCCACGTGAGGGCCTGGCTCCCCTTTCACTGATTGCTCACCTGCTGCTCGGCCACGCACTCACCGGCCCGAGAGCCTCCAGGACAGCGCACAGCACAGACGCTGTGGCACGGGCACTCTGGCAGTGCAGCCCTCATGGCGTTGGCCCCACAGTGTGCAGGAGGCAGGCCGGCCAGGCTTTGTGCCTCTGCAGCCAAAACAAGTGACTGCTTTTGCTCTCTTCCCCGGGCCGTGGCTGGATAGCATGGATGACAGCTGCGGCCAAAGGCATGATCTGTACGTAGGAAGGGCTGCGAAGGCAGCCAGTGTAGCCAAGTGTTGAACAGTTAACTTACGGGATGACTCTGTTCCGTGTGGGTGGAAATCTCAGCCCAGGACGCAGCAAAACTTCTCCTGAGTTGAAGAAGTGGAAATGGTTACTTGTGGCCCAGTTATGGTTATCAGGGAAACATCTCAATGGCGAGGGGTCTTTTGCCCCCCGCCACCTTCCTTATCTAACTGAGCGAAGACAGAGGGCTGAAGCTCTATTGCAGGGCTGCTGTTCTGCCGTCTTTCTCACCCGAGGACTTGATTTTAGAGTAGTGCTCCAAGCCAAATCCTTAGTGGTTATCGCAACAAGCTTATGACCATTGAGACACTCATTAATCCAAGTCCACAGAAAAAAAGTAAATATGGGACTCATTTCTATACGCATCCATGTACATCATGTCTACATACGTGTTCTCTGAGCACGACCTGCCCGTGTTTTACGTTTGATAGCATCAATATCAGTACACACCTCTTGTGAGTACTACTGACGCTGTCAGTGCAAGGCACCTCGCCCCGTTCATGCACACAGCGAGAAGTCCCCCTCACCTGCTCTGCTTCCACAGCCCCTGCTTGGATGTCAGTGGCCTGCATCCGGTGCAGCTCTGGAAATTCCCTGGGAGAAGCTGGTGAGAGGATGGGGAAGTAAGACAGGGACAGCACACAGAAGCCGAGGTCAGGCGGGGCCTCTGTGGATGGGAGGGGAAGGCGCTGCTCAACCACCATGGCGTTTACACCAACATGTAGCAAGCTGGTGTCAGGTGGGACCCCTCTGCCCAACAGCCAGCTGGCCTCTTAGGCCCGTGTTCTTGGACTGGCACAGCTGTTTCCGCAGGCACTCCGTGCCCTCGGTTGTTCCTCGAATGCTCTGTGCTCAGTCTCCAGTTCTGCCACTCCCAAAGGTCCAGAGGACACAGGTCCGCTGGCATCCAGTAACTTCAGTCTGAGGAGAACAGTCTTTCATCACTGAGCCTGCCTCCTGAAGGTCCCTGGCCTCCTGCCATGGGGACCCTGTCCCCAAGCTCAGAAGATGGCATACATGTACCCCAGAACCGTTCTCCACAGAGCCCCACTACCAAGCTCTCAGCAAACCTGTGGCAAACGTGGTAGGGTTGTTCTGGTGACCAACAGGGTCCCTTGCTAGCTGAATAATTAGAGGCAATGCCTCCTGTAGGTTTCCTCTGGGTTTGGGGCAGGAGCACGGCCTGTGGCTAAGACTGCAGGCTCCTTGCTCTGAACCCGTTACCTATACCTGGGCCTAGTATGACAGCACCTATGAGGTTCCTGGGCCCCAGAAGGGCTCCAGGTGCCCAACCTATGGTGAGCCTCCAGCACCACTGCTCGTCCTAAAGGCTTGGAGTAGGCTCCTGCCAGCCTTAGCGAGTAGGAAACCCTTCACCGAACGCCCATGTGTTAATCGCAAAGACTAAGAGTATTTCGGTTAGCACTGCAGATGCTCTAGGGCTGCAGCAGGGTTCTATCCTAATGTGCCCATCAGGAGCTGAAAATATTGCCAGTCAAAAAGCTCTGAATCCACATAAGACTCAGAGCACACGGGCTCAGCTCCGCAGTGCAAGGGTTGCCCACTGGGACACAGTGACCAAGGGCTGGGGACTGCTGCTGGTGCTGAGAGGGGACAGCCACACCGCGACAGCGGGGAACATGATACAAAGCTTGTTCCTCCTTTAGGTCCAGCCCTTACGCCACTGTGAGCTGAGGACCGTCTGCGGACGCCGCCGTGGAAATGCAAAGGCAGGGCTTGACTAGCTGATGAAGGGCTACAGGACATACCTTTGGGCTCCTGAAATGCAATATAGGAGATGGCAGGGGTGGGGAAGGTGGTAAAGATGAGAGAACTGCTTCAAAGTTAGCCTGATCAAAACCACTTGGTGTGCTAATAGCTTTCTTATCAGGAGTTCAGAGCCACAAAGGGCATTAGATCCAAGGGAAATGGTGATGTCAGATGTTTTTATGGTGCCTGTTAAGAGCCCTGGTTAGAAAGGGAAGGTGTCACTCATAGATAAGAGAATTGGACTTGGATTTTATAACTGAATTTAATTAGCACTGATTTGAGGTTGATAGTAGCTGGTTTTTCTAGTTTTCAGAAATGCATCTTTCCCTGCGGGAGAGGGGGACAGAGGAAACAGTGAGGAGAGTGAATCCTTTCATGTTCAGGGCCCCATCCTGCTTCCCTGTGATGTGGTAAAACCTGGCCCCCCTCTTCTCCCTTCCAGGCACGGAGCAGTCACACCTCCCAACCCACCACCTTCTCCAAACCCACACAGCCAGCAGATGGGAAGGAGAATGGCCCTTGGTGCCCAAAGGTGAGAGGAGAACCAGAGGCCGCAGCCCTCAAGGGAAGTCCTCCGGAGCCGCCTGTGGAACCATTCTCTTGCCGCAAGTGCTGTGCTGGAAGAAAGTGAGTGTTTTCTGTGCTTTGAAGATACAGTCTCAGGCCGGGGAGATGGCTCAGTGGAATGAGCGCTTCCCGGGCAAGCACAAGGGTCTGAGTTCAATCCCTGGTAAGATACAATCTTAAGCTTTGGGGCTCAGGAAACACACACACACACACACACACACACACACACACTCTTCCTGATATGGTACAAGTTAAAACTGGGGAAGCACTACACACAGAGTAGGTTTCTTAAATAGGTAGGTTGTATAACTGGCACAGCTTCCTTTGGGGTTATTTTTAGGGTTCCCACAGCTAACCTGTGCAGCACAGGGTTCCACCAGGTCAGAGGAAGGAACTGTTCTCACCCGACGCACAGCTGTGAGGGGCACATGGTTCCATCCCCGTGTGCTAGCGAGCAGCACTGGTCTCGGGAGATGAGCTGGTTCTGGCCCTGGGCAGCCTGGGCCCAGCGCCTCGGCTCTCCTGCGGGGAACTGTGCACAGGATTCCATTCCCCCACAAAAGGGATCCCCGTCCTGTGTGTGGCCTTTCCCCTCCACTGCGCCTGCTTCCCAGTTTCCCTTACGGAGAAGGGCTCCTGAGTTCTTCCTCCCCTCCGAGCTCCAGAGTGACTGCTCAGAGCAGGGGTGTCACGGGTCCAGCCTCAGGACTCAGGAAAGCCCTGGACCTCCTGGGCCTTGGTTTCTTCAGCAGAAAATGCAGAGCATGGCCCATCTAGAAAATCTGGCTGCTTTTTGTGGGAGAGATGGGAGGGGTCTGAAAGACCTGTGCCACCAGGTACTGGCCCCTACTCAATTTCATTATTAAAATTCTGACTATGTGAAAATGCTTCTGTTCACTCACTTGACATTTAGACACAGGCCCTTCCCTTGGACTTGCTGGGACCTGCACGAGAAAGTCCACTGCGGCCTCGGACCCCAGCCAGGGCGGGGCGGCGCGGATTCATGCGCCCCGTGTCTGCTGCAGTGGCAGTCACTGGGTTACAGTCCAGCACCTGTGGCTTGGACAGACTCTGTCCTGTCTACCTGGATGGCTTCTCGTTGTCCTACGGTGACATTAGGCTGCTCCCTCAGCAGGGAGTCTCTAAATTCCATCTCTCACTCAGTGTCACTGTGCCAGACTGGGCTGGCTGTGCTGGTGGGCACCTGCCTGGGCTGGGACCGTGGCCTTTTCACCTCCTGCTGGTCCCTGTGAACTTAAGCACTTGTCCCAACCTTCGATCCTCAGTCCTTCCGACTGAGCTGGGGTGAACCCACGTCTGGTGTGCGCTAGACCAGGAGTGCACGAGAGACCACCCACCCACCCTGCACATCCTCAGCTGGGAGACGGAGAAGCCCCATCCGCGAGACCTTTAGAAGAACAGGCTTTTGTTTGTTTGTTTTTTAACATCTACACACACTATCAAATATGACGCTTTCATGCACTACTCGGTGAGCTGTCAGGTCTCAGAGCCCCCCGGAAAGCAGGTAGGGACTCCTAGAGACCCTGCTTTTGCATCAGATGCGGGCAGATTCCTCCAGATCCCTCCCTCAGGAGATCTCCCCAGAATTTCTTCCCACTTTTGTATTCTGAGAGGGTTCAGAGAGAGAGCTCGAGTGAGCATCCCACACCTTAGCTTCTTGAACACAGCTGGAGTTTTCCTACGAAGCGACACTCAGCAGCTGAGTCCTCCCGGCCACACTCCCTGGGACACTCTGTGTGCTGCTCCCAGAGGAGAGAAGGCCCAGGCCCGTGGCCTGTCCTGTCACTGCTCCACTTCTCACCACCTGGAGGGCCTGGCCCTCACCAGAGCTGTTTACTTTGACCACAGAGCTGCAGAAGACTTCTGCAGCTTGGTGACTTCACGGGACACAGCTCTGTGTCCTGCAGGAGCTCTCTGGGCAGAAGCCACATGTGATGTTAGCTCATCAAACTCCAGCAGAGAGGTGGCACTGGCAGGGGCCTGGAGGCCTGCATCGCTTTCTGCGACCCCTCTGCTCCAGGGTCCCCAGGACACATCCCAACCACAAAGAGGCCTGACATCCAGGACTGTTGTCCCAGGCAGGTCCCCTATGGCCCGCCTCTGTCAGAGGGATACATGGGTGTTCAGGGAGGCCACCAGGAGCAACCAGCTGGGGGCTGGGGGAGTGCTTCCGGAGGTCCAGCTTTCAGAGGCTGCTGAGCTAAGCTGCAGGGCATGGCTGGTGGTGTTCCTGTCCCTGAACCTGTTTCTCTGTCCTTTCTTGGCAAGTCACATCCTTTTTCTTCTCTCTGGGCCTTCGGACCCCACACAGGGCCCGGGGCTCTGTGGCAGCGGCCGCTCCCCTGGCTGCCTCTGCTCTTTCAGACACATGACAGCATGTTCCGAGCAGATCCCACCTTACCATCAGGAAGCTCAGGGGAGCACCAGTGCCAGGCCAGGCGAGGGCGCCATCCCCCCCGTCCTCTGGCCAGCCACGAGCAGGAGGGGCCGTGGCAGATGCCCCACACCCCAGCCTCTTCCGTCCTCTTGAGTGGCCTGGTCTGGCACTCTGGAGGAACCCACGAGTAGCTAATAATCTAAGTGTGACCACGACAGTCACCCACTGAGACTCTGAGGCCCTGGGGGAGCACTGTCTCCTGGGAGAGCATGAACTGGGCCCTAGAAATGCCAGTTAGCACCCTGGGTTGATGATGACCCAGCGGACTGGGCCCGCCAGGTCCACAGCCCTTGTCACCAGCAGCTGGCATGCTGCTGCCAGCCCATGCTGGCCTTACTCCATGCCCTCCCCAGAAGGCTCCACTGCGCAAACACGGCACACTCCCATAACATGGCGGCAGTGGGCCAGGACAGCCCCAATCATGTGGACCAGGAGGACAGTGTCACTGGGAGGGTGGGCCCGGGCTTGTCAGCCTCTGGTTTCCTACAGATATGTGTGTGGCTGGGGTGATGTGTCAGCGCCTTCATGGGGCAGCCAGAGCCTCAAGGACACAGCTCTCTCCTCAGATAGCACGACTCCTCGGGCGCTGGGGGCCCTGCCCTATCTGCCCAGATTGAGCCCTGACTGTCCCAGAGGGTCAGATGTCCCAAACAGGTCAGATGCTGACCTGGTCTAGGCCCAGGGCTGTGCTGGCCATAGCCACCCCTCAGCCCCTCTGTGGCTACAGGAACCTAATTTTGGCACAAGTTCAGACCATGCAGGAGGCCAAGCATGGAGTGTTTTATCCAGGAAGAACCTCGGATTGGGCAGGTGCATGGAGGGCCCACATTGCCCTGACTTCCTCCTGCCTAGGAACATGACTCCATAGCCCCCTGCCCCTTGGGGACCCGCTGACATTCTGGGAGGACACCTGGCTCTGCCCGCGCTCTCTCCTCCTGGGGCTTTCCCACGGCATCACCTGCTTCACAGACACTGAGGACCCAGCTCTCTTTGGGGACCTTGCTCTCCGGGAAGACACAGCGCCAGTGTGCCCCCACCCCCGCCAGGGCAGCAGGTCCTGGCTTCCACACAGTGTCCCCTCCTTGCCATCCCAAGCCAGGCCTGCCAGCCTCACACTGGTCCCTGGGTCAGCTGCCTACGTGCCACACACACCACTGGGACTTAGCTGCCCACACTCATCGCAGGAGTCATGGAAGGCCAGGAGCTCATGACCTTGAACACGACCTTTGAAACCAGCAGAGCACCCTCCTTCTGTAGTGGTGCAGGCTCCCACCATATCAGCCATCGGGGCTTGCTGGGACAGTGGGTCACATGATGTGGTTGTGGTGCCCAGAGGCCCACGGACTGCGGCCTTGGAGCCTGCACGGCCCCCGTTCCTACTGGTCCTTCTGGGCAGTTGAAAGCCCAGACCACACCAAGCCAGAGCCTTGCCTCAGGCCCAGGCTCCTGGCCACACTGACTCTGGGACCACACAGAGCTGACCCAGCAACCCAAAAGCAAGTCAGCCTCTTCCTCAGAGCGCTGGGTTTCCAGAGCTGTCCCTGCCCTCGGATCTCTGCCTCCACCTCTCCCCCCGCCCTGCCTTTTGTGCTCTGCCCCTTGCCTCACCCTCTGTCCTGCTCTGCCCTCCGCCTACCCCTGCCCTCAGCAGCTCCGGGCCTCCCACCCCTGCCACAGAGGCCACGTGCCCATCCCCTGCCCTGCTGAGAGACGGGTCCTGCGTGGCTGTTAATGAAAGGGACACAACCCGCTTCGCCGTCATCCTGGATTATGCAGTCGTTAGGTACAGCACCGCCGCCAGCGGCCGGTCTGAGGTTGATTTGGAAATGGGCGAGTCCCAACAGTGAGCTCGAGGAAAGGTGTCAGGTATAAATCTTGTCTTCAAACAGTGGGCACATTCCACACTTCAGAGCCACTGCGCCGAGTGAGGCCCTGCTCTCCATCCCTTTCTTTTCCTGGCTGGAACAGGATGAAAGGCCGGGGGTGTGCGCTCGCTTAGTCTGATAATGAGGGTGAGGCTTGCGGGCATGGTAAATTGGCAGCTTCAGCACTTCCTGTAACAGTTTTACTTTTTTTTATTCAAGGGCTGCTTAAAGACAAACATTTTTTGTCAAACTGCTGGTAGTCCGTTTTCCAGCAGGAACCGTGCAATTAATCTTGTTTATATTAAAGAGGCAGGCTGTCTTTGTCAGCTTTCCTGAGCTATAATTAATGAGGATCAAAACGTTACAAAAACATAATATTTAGCTTAACTCAATGAGGCTGGGCAACAGCTGCATCAGTCAGAGGGGTAAGAGGGAAACAAACATCCCTTCCTTTGGAGCAACTCAGTGCTTCGAAGCCAGATCACAGGCGGCTCCCTCCTTGCTCGAGAGGCAGCTGGCGACGGAGGGGCTTGGAGTCAAATGTGGTGGGAAGCCTGCATTACACACAGCGCTGGGCTGAGCCGATCCAGGTGAGGCTGCGCGACAGATCACAACCAGGGCTGCCGCAGGGAAGGATGCCACAGAACCCACTGACACCGCCCCCACGCCAGGTGCCAAGCCGACCTGGGCTGCTTGCCCTGGAGCCCTCAGTTTGATGCTTGTCACCAGAAGCCAGA